TATATATATATATATATATATTTAATAGCTCTTAAGATTATATGGCTCTAGTAGAGAGACCACGGACATGGTAAAAATACTATCATCGTTTCTAGTGTTAAGTAAAAAAAAAAAGTTCCTGTTTAGCACAGGCGCACTTACCGGCCGGTACTTTCCATCTTCATCGGTGCATCCACACTCACTGAGAGGAACACACTGATTTCCACTAAGAACAAAGCCAGGTTTGCAGAAACATCCTTCCACACACGTCTCATTGCAGGAGCCTCCTGAGCCAGCAGGGTTCTGGCAAGTGGGCTGAGGACAAGCAGGGCCACAGTGGTTGTGCTCACTGCCCGAGGGACACTCGACCCCTTGTGAGTAAGTAAAGAATATACAGTATCATGAACACATTTTTTGATGACTTTGTGTTGTTATTCATTAACTTCACTGGCAACTTTCATCTACTTGATCTACTGATAACTACTGATCTACTTAATCAGTCCTGTCGATAATGTTTCCCTGTTTTACTGATAAATAACTCTAAGGTTTATAAACTGTTCTGGGACAGGGTCGCAGGGACAGCAGTCTGAACAGGGAGGCCCAGACTTGCCTCTCCACAGATACTTCTTCCAGCTCTTCTAGGAGGATCCCAAAGACATTCCCAGGCCAGCCGAGCAACATAGTCTCTCCAGCATGTCCTGGGTCTTCAACTGGGTGTCTTCACAGCGGGAAACGCTCAAGAAATCTCCCAAGGGAGGCATTTGGGGGACATGCAATTTAAATGCCAAGCCACCTCAGCTGTCTCCCCTTGATGTAGAGGAGCAGTGGCTCTACTCCAAGCTTCTCCCGGGTGACAAAGTTCCTCAAGCTATCTCTAAGGGAGCGTCCTGCCACTCTGCAGAGAAAGCTAATTTCGGCCACATTCCGGAATCTTGTTCTTTCAGTCATAACCCAACGTTCATGACCATAGGTGAGGGTAGGAATGTAGATTGACAGTTAAATCGAGAGCTTTGACTTGCAGGACTTAGTTATATGGGCTTAAGAGCAAGCTAACTACGTTTGTAGTGGTGCAGGCTCCTAACATGCGCTTCATAAAGTTGATGGATTTCAGCTAGTACAGTGACTTATGGAAGCTCAAGTCTACACACTCATCTGGTCTTCAAAAAAAAAAGTTCCCTGTGGGATGTGCAAATAAGGTGCAGTGTGATAGCCCTAACTGGTAAC